GGCCCTGGGATGAGTCAGCTGCTAAGCAGGACAGGCAGCAGCAGCAAAAACACCCTGCGGGTCGGATGAATGTCCTAGGCAGGCCATAGTTTGAGGACACCTGTAAAAGATGACCAGTTAAATTACTTGTTATTTTAATATGCATTGCTTTGCTTCTTTGCCATCTAGATGTCACATGGAAATAATACACAAGAAAGAAAAATACTGGGTTTTATTCTTTGGGGATATTGAATAGAGGAAAAATTGGATGAAATAATTTAGGATTCATTTAGAATTAGAATCTAATTTTTTAGATTTTGCAATTAAAGAGATTAGCTGGGAGAGCTGGGATTATTCTATTTCAAAGTATACAAATGGAGGTAAACAATTGCCTAGAAAGAGAATTGGGTTTCCAAAGGATACTTAAAATTTAATAGTAGCATTTTTACATTTATGTCATGCCCATGCTGAATGCTCAATATTATCTTATGGACCCTTACTGCAAAACTCTAAAGTAGGTAGGTGGTGTTCATATCTTTCCATTGTAGATGGGGAAACTTTGATATAGGGTAATTTGAAATTTTACTCAATGATTATATATCAAAGAAGTGGTCAAACCCAGAATCTGCCTGTGGAGTCTACACACTTAGTTAATCTCTAGACAAAGAGGTAAGAAAAACAGGGATAAATAATGAGAAGCAACCAAAGTAACCAAGAGAAGAATAATAGGAAGAAACAAAAATGGAGAGGAGAAGAGGCAAAATACAGTAAATAAAAGAGAGGAGGGGAGAAGAAAAGTATACAAAAGAAAAGGTAGAAGAAAAGAACATGAAAGATAGAGAAGAAGAAAAGGAAATAAAGATCCCTGTGGTAGGATCTTTTTGTTGGTAATACCTGAAGGAAGAAGGAAAAAGGATAAAAGAAGCCTTCAATTCTCCTTTGTTTTAAATATAATGCTGCTTGGGGAGGCATTGCATAGGGAATCTGGGTCATTCAGCCACTGTAGGAATCACATGTGGACAGGGCCCTAGCGGGAAACAGGCACTTGGTGCATGGTCCTGGTCACGTTGCTCCTGCCTCCCGTTAGGGAGGGAAGCCAATGGTGACCAGAGGGCCTGGGTTAAAGGGACTTGCCCCCTGCCCTTGAGTGTGTACACACACACACACACACACACACACACACCCCACACACACAAAGTCTGGTTAAGACAACAACACGTACAAATGAGTAGTATGTGTTAGATCGTGGGAATTAGGGAGTGATGACCTCTTAAGAGGGACTCTGTAGGGTTGACTTTGAGGTCAGGGCTTCTGAAAAAAAGTAAAACAAGAGCTCTGTTGATTCTTTTTTCAAGTCTTATTTGTAAAGTTCCTAGATTATTCCATCAATCCATTTGGTTTTTCTGTAGCTATCTTCTCCCAGGACAGTATATCCCTGAGATAACATCTCAGTAACAACAATCTGTGGGAACAAACTTGAGTTGAGTTATGTTGGAGAGAAGGCTCCTTTTGCTCTCACCACCATCCTGTAAGATCCGCCTTCCTCTTCTTTTTGTTTCTCTTCCACAGGGCTTGGCATTTTTGCTGCCCAGGGCCTCCCAGGTAATATTTTCATGCCTTTGGGGTGTTAGAAAGCACAACTATAAGGACTGTTTGCAAATTCCAGATCAAATGTAGTTCCTCCTCTATTTCCTACCTTGGTGATGGCTGAATTTCATACAGAGTCACTCCAACTAGAAACCACAGAGTCACCCCCAGTCCTTCTAACTCATTTCACACACTCAGAAGTCACCCAGCTGTGCAGCATTCCTCTAGATGAAACTTTTAAAACCCATTCTTGCCTCTCTGCCTAAATGATGTCTCTTATCCCGGCTCTTATGGTACATGGCCTGGGTCACCTGCCCTCTATCTCCTCTAATCTGATACCCACAGATTCACTCTGATAACTACCAGTCTGTTCTTAGAAGCACATTTGGTCTATTGCCTCAAAGCCCTCAACTCTCTAGGCTAGTATTCAAGACTCTTTATGATTCTGAAATGTGTCTAGCTTTTTGTCTTATCTCTGCAACTCTTTTCATCCAGCAGTAAAGATTTGCAGTTCCTATGGTAGCACACTGTTAATTGCCTCTGTTATTGTCCAAGTCAGCCTTCTGGATCTTTCCTTTTGCTAACTCCTACTCTTTATTTTAAACTTAGCTCAAAACTATCCACAATGAGAAGCCCTCCCACACTTTCTGTCATGATTTAACTGTTCCTCTGTGGCAGGGGTCCTCAAACTTTTTAAACAGGGGGCCAGTTCACTGTCCCTCAGACCGTTGGAGGGCCAGACTGCGGGCCCTGGATGAGTTGGCTGCTAAGTAGAACAGGCAGTGGTGGCAAAAACACCCAGTGGGCTGGATAAATGTCCTAGGCAGGCTGCATGTGGCCCACAGGCTGTAGTTTGAGGATGCCTACCTATGGGATCCCTTAAAACTTGGCATGCTTTGATAATTACTAGCACATTGTCCTATGACCATTGCTTTACAAACTCCCAAACAATGCTGCCAATGCCTCAAGGTGACATTTGTAAGACCATGCCACATTTTATCTTACAACTCCTGCACTGGTTAATGAGCCCAGCACATAGAAAATGACTATTACTAAAAGACTGATATCAGTTTTACATATTCTGGGATGCAAACAGGAAGTGATCCATCTAGCTCCTCCCACTTCCTAAGGGCTTAGTGTGTACTGATGTTTGTGTAATATGATCCTCTCAGAGGTGATGTTCTTGCCCTTTTCCTGGTGGAGAATACAATGTTTCTCCCAGCCTTGTAATTGGGGCTGGGCATGAAATAATCAGAGTAAGGAAGATCTGATTGAAGCCACTTTACCGAGAAAAGAAAATGTTAAAGTTACCAAAGTGCAGTCAGGGCATTCATATATCTACTTTATACATGTAATTAAAGTTTACATATATTTAAAATAGTTATACAGACACAATTAAAACTGGTATACTTTATATGCACAATTTTCTTGTTTATATGCACAGCATAAAATCATTACTGTGTATTGTTTATCTCTACTAATATCATAATATTTATATTAATTGTTTCAATACATATAAAAACCCTTTGATGGAGGGGCACTAAAATTTATCACCTTCCTTTTAAAGACGAGAAACTGAGGCATAGAGAGGGAAGTACCTTGCCCAAGATAACATTGCTCATAAGTAAGGGAACTAGGACGTGGCCCCAAGACAATATGGCCCCAGATTTCAGACTCTGCTCCACTGCCTCCCACACAAGCCTGGAGCCTGTCCACACAGTGATCACTGAGAAAGTGTGGATGACTATTCCTCCCTCAAATAATAATTCCGGGGAAGTTTCTTCTGTTATTCTTGTACCACACTCATTTCTTCTGTTCCTCTTTCTGTTCATCTCTATTTCTTGTAAATT